CCAACTACTTCTATCTCTGTTTCAGCTTCCTCTACCTCTGTTGTAAGCTTCCTTTCTATTTCCTCTATCTCTGTTCTAGTATCTGTTTCAAGAAAATCACTTTTATCTTCTTCACCTTCTTTTTTAAATTCAGCATCAACAGCTAACAAATTTCTTTCAATTCCTATATTATCATAGTCATAATTTAGTGACATAGTACTTAGCCCAAGTCACCAATTGCTAATATGCGCTCATCATACAGTTTCCTCCCTTCCTTAACCTTGCACAATATACCAGGCTGTAGTTCTTCACCTGCCTTGCCTCGAGTCACGCGCCCCATTTTGTCTATAGGTGTCGAGTCATCAATAAGAAAGTGTATCAAAACCAGCTTTGATTCATAGTGCAAAACACTCAGAAAGCTATTAGATTAAAACTTACCTTTGCAAGTAGTTTCCTTGAGAACAGAGCGAAGCATCATCTTTCTTCTTGCAGATACAGCGTGGTTCACTCTTTACGTGTGTGACTGAGAATTGCCACATCCGTAAACGTCATCGTTATGTAAGTAATTTTTTAAAATCAGAGTAAAGACGATTGATAAAACGCTTGTATCAAGTACACACTAGCAACTGCAAGCACAGTATGACGCACCGTTTTTTAATAGTTTTGTATTTGTCAAACGTGAACTTTTTATTGTCTTCTACTGCATATCAGGGTGATCTTCCAATGTTCAGAGAAATGTGTACAGTTCTAAGTAGTGAGGATTCATGTCCTCTGTTGTCTTCTTCAGTTCATTTGACTTTGCTAACATGACAAAGTCCCCATAATCATGATAAAACATAAGCGCATCAGCTTTTCACTGAGGGCTTTTGTAGCTTCCTGTATACCTCTTTGATTCCAATGCTTTTACGTGTAAATTTGAGAAACTCATTTGCTGTCTCACGTAGAAACAATATCTTCATAGCATTAGAAAGTGCTCTCTCACACCTCTTCCCTCTCTAAACTCTTAACATGCATGAATGCGTAGTGTACATTAACTATTAATGTCATTACAATTATTATTATCATTATTATTATTATTATGTAAAGAACAACAAAGCATAGTAAAGAAAGGTAAGCTACAATAACACACATACATGTACTTACTTTTATCTATACAGGTTGTTATTTTACCTGCATCATTAAATCAAAAAATCATATTGGTACTGGACTGCCATTTATCTGTTTATAACTACAGTATAGCTCAGTAATAAAGATAAGTAGTGGCACTGCGCTACCCTTTGTGACAGCATACTTCGTTCTACAACTTCCTACGCAATTCGTTGAATGTTCATGCATGTGCAGTTACGGTTTGCACGTGATACTGCACTTGGCTCCAGCTGCTCTTTGTTACTGTATCGTGTCTCTCTTCAGTCTGCTGCCGCTTGTCTTGTATCAGTTCTTCTCTGCCTTTGTAAAATGACGTTTAGGTCTCAGCTTAACCAACTTATGAGACCTCGTGGTGAGTACAGTGAATCTAGTGTTCTTACATTACAGTATTATAGATGAGTTCCTACTCGATTTATTTTGAGAGCGATGAATCTATGTCAATTGTGTGAAAAGGCTCTATTATAGAGCTATCTTCACTCAACTTGGGAGAGAAATGTCATGTAAAAGCTGAAAAGCGGGTCATAGATAGCAGAATAATAACATATGGTTAGCTGTGTGTGTGTTGCATATTATTATTATTATTGTAACAAGAGCAATACTAAGAGTAAGGTTATTATTCTTATAGGTAGTATGGATGATATCACCAATGTAGAAGAACAGTTTTTTGTTGGAATTTACACTCCTGATTTTCTTCCTAAGAATTTTTTTGATGAAGATTCTTCTGCTACATTGAAGGAAGACACTAGCACTCCTAAGAAAAATAGTACAGCACAAAAGACAGAGTTATTACAATTATTTTAGGGTGTATACATAAAGTTACAGGTAAATCATTAAAGAAGAGAGGAGCCTCAGAAATGTTTAAAGAAGCTAAAGAAAATGGTATAGTATTATATATTGTTGTTGGTTACTTACATATATGTGATGTTACAGGTACATGCAAGATAAAGAGAGGAAAAACTATGAAACCTGTGAAAAAGCTGAAGAAAGGTACTTAAAAAAGTTATTACTAAAATGAGCTTTATCCTTTCATTTTAGAACCACAATCCAATATTAAAGTTTTATCTGTATCTGACACTACTGATTTGATAAAGCCAGGTGATGCTGCAAATTCTGCTGCTGTAACAGCTGAAACTGCTGTAACCCCTATCACCAGTCATTCTGTTGAAATTTTCTCACCTACCTGTATAAGCAATTGTACCGGCTATAGTTCAGATGATGATAAGGATAGTATTTCTTTATTACTACCACCCATAATACTAGATCCAAGTGCACCACAAAGAAGAGGAAGCAAATATGCTACTTGTATGTTTTATTTTTAATGTTCCTTGTGTATAATCATCTTAATAATACACTCAAGGAACTAGAACAGACTGTTAACTCACTCATTACGCGTATTGACAGGTAAAGAAAGGCATGCAAGATTTAACTGAATCTTTGGTGAGTATTTTACGTTTTGTGTAGGATAATGTATAAGTGAGATCTTTTAAAAAACTAAGCAAGACGTACCACAGCAGGTACCTGTGGTACTAAACTCAGTTTCAGAATATTTGGAAGAGACACCAGTAAAGTATTCACTACTCACTGAAGTATCACTATCACTCTCTCCTGCTATACAATCTGAAGTTGAAAAGCTACTAAAGCCTGATGAAGTAATCAAGAAGTACCCTAAGTATGTTGCAACCAGGCCCAAAAAGCCAAGGGGGTTCGAAGGGTTCGGTCGAACCACCCTCAAAAAATTGCTTGAAGTTAATTAACGGATATTAATATTAGATAATAATTATTAATTGTAAATGAATTGAATGAAATGGCTGCTAATAGAAAACGTGTTAGACAGTGCGAACAATCTGGAATCCTGAAGTTCTTTAAAGCAGTAGACTATAGAGTGAGAACTGAAGAAGAGATTCATGTAGCAGATCGTCCAACGTCAGTTTTAGATAGTGACACTGACAGTACTATAGCTGTGCAAACCACTGTCCTTGCTGAATCTGCTGGAGAAGAAGAGGTACAGGTAGCAGATCTCCTTCCAGCCAACTTTCCAAAGCAGGAGCTTGATATAGGTATTCTTATTAAGCATAATATGTCGTCTGTGGAAATTAGTTCAGCTATATCTTCCTTTAGTGTTGGGGAGAAATGTAAGTTATTATTGCATCACTTTGTCCCTTCTCCTTCATTTGCTTTCCGAAAGGGTTCGATTGTGCCTGTAATTGGAGCTTTTAGGCTACATGGTTAGAAAAGTTTCTGTGGCTTGTGTATAGCAAGGTTTTAGATGGTGGATTTTGCAAGTATTGTGCATTGTTTGTAAAAGATAGAAATAATTGTAGCATTCTGGTTTATAGGCCTTTTAAAAAGTGGGTGAAATTGAATAAAATAGTTGGTTCTCATGCATCTAACGTTTTTCAAAGAGAAGCAGTTGCTGACGCCCAAGCTTTTGTTCATTCAGTTGAAAAACCTCAGAAAAATATAGATGCTCGTCTTAATTCTCGTAATATCGAGGAAAATTGCTACATAGTTAAATGCTGTGCAGAATCTATTCTATTTTGTGGTCAGCAATATTTTGCACTGAGAGGTGATAAAGAGCTTTTGCATCAGAGTATGAATCCAGGTAATTATTTTGCCCATTTAAAAGTAATAGCAAACATGACCCATTGTGAAAAGCTCACCTTAAGAGGCCAAGGCTTCACAATGCTACATACATATCAGCTAGAATTCAAAATGAAATAATTGATGTTATAGGCAAATCTATAATTCAGAAAAGTTTAATGAATGAAGTAAAAGAGGCTAAGTTTTTTGCTATAATGGCTGATGAAATAACATCTTTTAATAATAAATTAATGCCTTTGTGTGTTCGCTTAGTAGATTTGAATAATAATATAAGAGAAGAATTTTTACTTTATTCATTGTTGACACGTGTGACTGGTGAAGCTATTGCCTCTTGTGTGTTGTGAAATTTAGCTGAACTAGGACTTGATGTGAAAAATGAGAGGCCAAGGGTACGATGGCGCTTCCAATATGTCAATTGAGCGTATTGCATTACAAGCTTTAATTCAGAAGGTGTTCCATTGGCAGTCTATACTCACTGCACTGGGCATTGTTTAAATGTAGTCATTACAAGTTCTTGTAGTTTGCCTGCTGTTAGGAATGTCATTGATAAAGTTTAAAAGTGCGTGTAATTTCTTCCTCAATAGTCCAAAATGCAATGGGCTATTGATAGAAATAGTAGCTAATAATGTTTTAGATGCAGGCAAAAGGTCACCTTTTATTGACCTTTGTAAGACTCGATGGCATCTCGGCATAATGCATATTCACACTTTTACAACTGTTACAAATTTATTGTTATGGCATTTGAAGTGATTGGGCTTGGATTGCATGCTGAAACATTAAGTAATCATTTTGCAAATGCTTTTTGGGATTCAGATTCTAAAAATACAGCTGTTTCTTTGCTACACAGCCTAACAGATTTTAGTTTCATTGCTGTTTTCTAATGGTTTATCATTTGCTATCTCATTTAGCAGGCATTACAGTTAAATTACAAAGGAGGGCAATTGATATAGTTGATGCCTATAATAATATTGATGAAATATTGTCACTTTACAGGCAATTGAGAAGCAATATTGACTCCACTTTTCATACAATTTATATAATCATGCTGAAAGAATGGCTGCATCAGTTAAAGGGTAACTGCAATGTATTTTTGGGGTATTTTTTTATTGGCTTAATACAACTATCTGGTCATGAAAATGATGTGTACTTACTGATTTTGTCCAAAAAAATTTATTGGCTGAGATATGAGCTCTCAAAGTTGCTCAATTTTGCTTCTTGCCATGATACTTCCTGTTAGTGGGCGTGACTTTACGTGACGTCATGAGAGGCATAGTATGGCAAGCTGTACCAGTGATAGTGATGAAGAACCAGTTGATTACTCTAATAGTCTTGACATATTACCTTACAACTTCGAACCAGAAGGTAGTAGTGAAGAAGAATCTGCCTCAGAATCAGATTCTAGTCATGATGATGATGAATTATCAAGTACAACTTGGTAAGATGGCTGGCCATAGTGTCGTTTTGGAATTATATTTATGTACCATTAAAAAGGTGTTCCTGTAGTAATTGTGTCATAATGCCTTCAAGAAGAGAGTGCCTTTGTTGCAGAGATATTCAAGCAATAATGAGCAAAATCAATGAAGTGAATGATACTCAAGTCAAATGCATAACAGAGCACCCTGGTTTTAGTGCAGTATGTCTCAATGTTTGGGTTCTTCAGACAGCATATGCACAATACAGACAGCAGTATGGCAATTATAATGCTTCAATGCATGAGTAAGTGAAATAAATTTTATGAAAAATTATAATGCCTTTACAGGCGACACAGGTACACTGCTTATCGTCAACTTGTAAGGTGGTGCTGGGGATTGTTAGGACGAGAAGTCAGAGTCATACTTCCATCATGTGCTGTATCTATTATAAGAACAACATTTCCATCAAGTGCATATACTGGATATAGTAATCCTTAAATAGATTGATAATACATGTACATTATAAAGTGTGACTAAATCTACTCTTGTGTTCCAATATGGCTTGTGATTTATGAGGGTGATTAAGTTTTTGGCTAAGTGATTCTGGAGATGCTAAATTGTAATTGTTATCTTCAAAGAAAATATCAGGCTTATTTCCTTGAACTATCTGCATAGTACATTCTAATAGATCTTGAACATAACCTATAGGGGTATAGTTATGGAACACATGACAAAATTAATCAGTTGTATAAAATAAAAATTACCGTAAGTAGAGGCTACTTTTAATTTACAAACAACATGACCTCCTTGCTTATATTTAGGAAAGGATATGCAATATCGCCTTGTTCTTGCTTTTGTTTTAGATTGTTCTTTATTTCCATTTTCATTGCAATGAAGTGCAGCCAGTCTTAGCCTGTATACAAATAAATATAAGCAGGTTGTACATGGACTTTTATGCTTTGAATTACTCACCTAGCAAGCATTCCTTTAAATGAAAAAGTTCTTGATTTTGGGGCAAATTGAATTATGACACTATGAAATGCCTCAATTGCCGAAGTTTGATGTAGCGGAGATAGTTTCTTAACTTGGTTACATAACCTCGTATTTGACAAAAGATCACAGACTTTAGTGCTAGCTTTTGTATCTGTCCGATAATATAATTTATATTTATAAAACATTAAACATGTATATGCTTACGCCATTTGAACCACTTCTTATTCTTTTTGTTGCTTAATCTTCCATGAGAACATCTCTTATATAGGCCAGTATGCTTATGTTTGTTATGGATGTGATTAGTTAGAGAGAGCCATTTGTCCTTGATCATTTCCTGATTACCATCTGTTGTGGATGCTGCACACCAATATAGATGATTAGCAATGCTTTTGGACCATTCACCAATTTTCTCGCAATCCTTTTGTTTAGCAAGAGCCTTTAATTTCTTTTTAACACCTGTAGATGTTACAATTTTTAACACTTTGTAACAAATTTTACCTTTAGCTACATGCCATACATCGTAATAGTGCTTTGTATCAGGGTGTGACTCTCGGAGCCATTTACTGATTTGCATGTGGCGGTCAGTAACTATAGTACCAATACTTAAGTCGTGATCATGGATCTTTTCCATAGCTCTTTTCAATCCCTCAAGTTTCATGTGGTTGCTACTTTTAACTTCATTACTCTAAAGGATAGTGAACAGACATTTAAACAATGTACAGGTACAGTATCTGCATTAATCTTACTTGAACCAGTTGAATATCTAGGACAACTTTGTGAGTTAAGTCTACAAGACTGTATGAGCCATACTTAGCTGAGTGCCCGGGACTATCAGCCCTTCCATCACCAGCCAGCAATAAAGCAGAGCCTTCCTCAGCTAATTCTGCAAAGAAAGATTGTTGTCTCATATCCCAAACTTGACAAATAGCAGGATGAAGATATTTGCGTTGATGGTGAAAGTAAGATCTAGAACTGATACAGGCACAACCAATTGTTTTAAATACGCGGAGACCTTGTTGAGCGAGGCACCCATTAAAGAGAATGGCAGCTGATATTAACAAATTGCCTTCAGGGATATTGGTAACAAAAGGTTGGCTATCCCATGATGTTAGTGTTTCACAACTTAGACACTTCTGTTTGATTCTAAGGAAACTACCAATAACTAGTTTCGTTACTGAGACATCGTGCGACTTGCATTGATAGCATTTAGAGAACAAAGAAAGCAGAGCATCTTCATATACTATATATTTTTGCTTCTCATCATTACTAAAAAGTATAAAAATAATCCCTTTTATATGCAAAAAGTACTTACGTTAAAGAGCTGTCACAACATGAATCCTCATCTAAATAATTATCATCATCGCAAATGTCAGATTCATCGTCATCATCATCACTATAATCATTTTCCAGTTCATTAGTTCCTTGAGGTAAAGTAAATTCAGGTAATAGATTGCATTGAATGCCAACTTCATTGTAACATATAATCCTTTCTGTCTGAGTACCTTTTGAGTTATATACATTTCATATAAATTGTACTATAATAAATATTCACTCACTTCTAGTTTTCAATGTTCCTTTAGCTTTAGATGTTTGTACCTTTACAGAATTTGTCCTTGTTTTCCTCAACTTGAGTTGATACAGACTAGATAATTATGTACAGTTAGAATATAAAGCAATTAGTACATGATTTACAGTACCTTCTTAGTTGTAGAGGCATATGGAAGTTCTGATGTTAAGGAGGAACAATCAATCATAATTGGTTCTGCTGGTGGTTCCGGTGAAGACTTAGAAACAGATCGAGATGAGTGTGTTACACCTTTAAGAATCTACCAAAAGAAAAGTTATAAACAGCTATGGATATTAAATAGTATGCATTATTAATACACTTTTTCTTTCTCTCTTTTCATAAGCAGGCCTTTTTGCAGCTGGCTCTTCAATATCAGATTGCTTTCTTTTAAAAATAGTTGGAACAGCATCTTCTTTTAGTTTCTATAACCAGTTGATTCCAAGGCTACTAGACATCAAATTCCTTTCTGCAAAGCTAACCTTAGAAAAGTGTTCTGAGCAGACAACAGAGCTACCAGTAGGACCTTTCCATCCAGTCCTAGTTCTCTTCACTTGCTGTATCCATTTTTTTCGAATATTAGCATTCTTAGGGATGTGAAATACGCTAATGCCTTCCTCTAAGCAAGTGTTGCTGCAACCATAAGCAACACAACGATTGGGCATTTCAGCATGCAACTGATGGTAGCAAAGCAGCAGAATGCCTCTCATGACGTCACATAAAGCCACGCCCACTAACAGGAAGTATCACGGCAGGAAGCAAAATTGAGCAACTTTGAGAGCTCACATCTCAGCCAATAAATTTTTTTGGACAAAATCAGTAAGTACACATCATTTTCATGACCAGATAGTTGTAATAAGCCAATAAAAAAATACCTAAAAAATACATTGCAGTTACCCTTTAATGTACAACGTAGCCAAACACGTATATGCAGACAGCAATTACATTGTCCTAACACTGCTACTAATGCTTCAACAATAGAGAAATGGTAACGAATTAATGCTGCTATTCCATTTCTTGATCACAATATCTGACTTAAGCTGTCATTTTTCTCCATTGGCAAAAAGATCATCCACTTTATTGTGCCTTGTAGCATCTGTACTGTCAAGTAATGAAAATGTATCATTTTCTGAGATATTAGATGTGTATTCAGGTGATCTTCTTTCACCAGAGCTTTTTGATCAAGAAGTCAATCATTGGTAGTAAAGCTGGGTGATGTTGGAATTATTGTATCCCATTCGATATTTCAAAAATTATCCAAGTCTGATACCAACAGCTCCCTTGTCCATGATCCTATCCTGTCTCTAGCGCGTAGAGCCGCTGTTTGTTTAGGTAGATGAAAGGGTTTCTTAGGTGAGTGATCTTCCATCAATGGGTGAGTTTCTACAGTGCCAATAGGTTCACTTTTAGACAACAATTGTAATGGTGAGTTAGAGTGAAGTCCGAATCATCTGATCCTTCAAGTGGGTACAGACTTTGAAGTGGTCTCTTGAGTAGTATTGTCTTACCATCCTTACTATGTGTTCTGACAATGGCTGCTCTTATTTCTCCATCTCTTCCTACAATTAATTCATTTATATTACCCAATTTCCAGAATCCTCGAGGTAATTGGTCATCTTATACTAAAACAATATATCCAATACATACATTA